AGGAGAGGAGGGAAAAAGGATGAAAAAGTAAGAAATAAATCATTTGAATCGTCATTGGATGATTGTTGAAAGTACAAAAGTTAATAAATGTACTTAGCCGAAAGGTAAAAGGTCAAAAATTTTTTACTATTCTAAAATAATACGTCTTTTGGTTACTACATTTTTTTTTTTTTTTGTTGTCAGATATTTATCATTTTTCTTCTTCTGTGCATGAAGATGACCATTTTAACCATTTCATTATCAATCAGTTGAAATTCTATGAATTCGGACCATGACCTTTCGTTCTTGTCGATTCCTCAAATTTCTTTCGAAGTCGTTCTCGTGCCCGTTGCGCACGAACATTCTTCAATGGCGCACTTTTAATCAATTGAATTTCAGGACTTTCATTCAGTTTAAAAACTGCACGACCTTGAATATCTTTGGTTTTTGCATTTTCTAAATCTGTTTTACTGTCGACACTTGTTGTTGTCTCGTCTTTCGTTTGTTTAATCTGAAATTTTAATAATAATTCAAATAGAATTAAATTTCCAACGATTCAGTACATCATTAAAATTTATATCTCATTCAATCTATCTGTTAATGATAGCAAAATATGTGATGGATGGAAATTGTTATGATGTTTAATGCGAGAAATTTATCATGCGTAAAATTTATCAAATTTTTTAAAATTTACAAAATTTACCAAATTTGCCATGGGAAAAATATATAAAATGTATAAATTAATTAATGCATAAAATAAACCGTTTGCTTCGGACGTGCACCTTTGTGAGGCGATAATTCAGCAGCATCAGTTCTGTCAGAATCTTTGCTTGAACGAGATTTCTTATGAATACCATATAAACTTGATAATTTTGGCTTATCGATCTTTTCACTCTCTTCTTGAGTAACATTTGGTGCTGGTCTTAAAATTTTTTCCAATGCTTCCTGATCAACATGAACTTTAGTTCGTAATCCGGTAGATGTTGATGGTTCATCAGGATTTCGAATGTATGATTGTTTATCAACGGTAGATGTATCACTCCAACTTGTTCCAGTTTGCTCACTCAAATCAACAATATCAATCTCTTCAGTTCTTGTCACATTTTTACTGCTACCTAAAGGTTTACTCTCGGACTGTTTCTTTTTTGATGGTGATTTTGGCATTGATTGTTCGCTTGTTGATGGTTGATCGCAAAAAAATTCATAAACATTGTTCGAGAGTTTTCGAGACTTTTTTGATTTACGCCGTAATTCGTCACTGCGTTGCGTTTGCTCTTCCGGTTCTTCAAGCAATCGTGATATTAAATGCAATTTTTCAAAACGAGCACATAGCTAAATAAAATTTAAATAGTTTTAATAAAGCAGAAAAAAAAAAGAAAATAATGTGAAAAAAATTTTTCTTATTTCAAAATATCTTAATTGATAAATAATTTGTCAGAGATTTATAAATGAAGTGATAAATTTATTTTCAATGACATAAATACTCATTGAAGATTATTATAGTCTATCAAACTATTTCATTATTAATAACAATCTATTGTTGCTGATAAATTAGATATTTCAGGATCTGTTCAACACTGAATTGATTATTGTTTAACAAATCACTACAAATTACGTTAACAGTTTTTGCGATCATAATAACTGTATTAGCTTGCTTCTTATGAATAATAGCTAACAGCGATAATATTATTTTAGCATAGTTTTACCTTTTTTTTTTTAAGAAATTTTCATTTTTTTAATGAAATAGAATTATTGACCTTTGCCATAAAACTTTCCATTTCTTCTTTACTTGTAGCGCTTGATTTTTGATCAGATTGTTTTTTGCCTTTTTTCTTCTGATCAGACTGTTTCTCATCAGATGCCATTGCAAACTAAATGTCAAATTAAAACAATAAATGATTTCAAATTTTTTGAAATATATTGCGGTATAAAAAATAGAATCTAATCAACAAAATAAACAAATAAAAAATAATAAAGTAATTAATTGCCATATAATAATTATTCATCAAATATTACACACTATTAAATGCTTCATCAGAAAGCGCACAAAACCAAAAGTATTAATTACTACTCTTATTGCAAATTAAACATATTCTCTTCATTTCATACTTTAACCTAATTTTTTTTGTAACTCTGATTAGTCTAATTAATTCAATAGAATTCTATATTCAGATATGGATATGATTTAAAAAAAAATCATTTAAATCAAATTTTTACACAAAAAATAGGAATAGCATTGATGAAAAAATCGAAAAGAAATCTTTTGGTACCGATTTTACTGCCGCATAAATTGATAGATGGAAAGTTCGAATTTATGATTAGAGAGAAAGTTTAAGCATGGCGGGAATATATTCTTTATATTTTGCCACCGAAAACCCGCGAGTAAGTGTAAAGTGAGTACAATGAATCTTTACATTATGATTCCAACGAATTTTCCAGAATCTCTCCGTTAAGCATTTCGAAACAAAAAGAAAAAAACAATCGAGTGAATTAGAATTTTCAAAATATCTCGAAGTAAATCATCGAATGGTAGTTCCAGCATTGAAAAATATTACAAATTTTTATATTTTTTATTTTGCTGTAGCATTCATTTACTCAAATACACATATAATTGAATAATTCATTAAATATTCAAAATTTTGTATCCGATGGATTATTTTTTGCAGAATCTTTCAAATCAGGCGCTTTTTTTCCTCTCTTACACTTCTCTAATTAAAACAATACATGACCTTGTTCACTAACTTATTTATTTATTACTTTTGCATAACAATTCTAATAACAATTTCATAGCTATGAGCTCTGTTCAGATTGTAATAAATTTTCATGCTGCAATTTTTCAACGAAAATTTTTCATTTTCAATGTACAAATATTATTTTTTTTTTAACTTAAAAAAAATTCGTTCCAAAAAAAAAATGAACAAAATAATTTACATTCACAAAGAAACTCCTTCAACAATATAACATTTAAAAAAGTATAGTAGAAGTTTTCTGACATTAAAATAAACCTAACAAAATTGTTCTATTTATTGTCCCGAACTTTTAACAGTGAAATTCTCGAAACTCTTCCAGAAAATTGGAACTTTTGAATTATCACATAATTGTTAAGTTGATATTTCGTCGTTTATTAAATTACTTGAAGTGATATATGACGATCGTTGGAACAAATCATTTTTTGCTAACCATTTGTTTCATCTTCTACATTTCCGACCTCAAACATAATTTAAAAAAATAAAAATGCATTCAACAATGTCACTGTCACCAACTGATAGCATTCACCATTTACAGGGCTAATGCCATATCTGTTATCATAATGATACCACACTTAGTCTTCTTTCATATCTGATATCACAACTGCTATCATACTCGGCATCATTTCTGATTAACATACCTGGAATCACACCTGGTATTATGCTTGATATCATACTTGCTTTATCACATCTCGTATCACATTTGATTAGCGTACAATTACATTACCGTGTAAATCCGTGTAAATACATTACTCTTCATCTGATTGTGCAAATACGTGCATTTGTGCAAATTATGCAAATATGTGCAAATACATTACTCTTCATCTGATTCAATTTGCGGCACTTTCTTTGAGAATCTTCACTATTAAAGCAAGTTCAATTTCAAAACAAAAACTTTGCCCTTCTGTAATTTGCTAGATTCTTGCCCATCATTAGCAATGCTTACGAGAGTGATGACATTCAATGAACAATACTTGTCGAAGAATTTCTTATGTACTGCTATGGGCGGTTTTTTTTTTCGACTCGTAAACAAATTTAATCCAAATTTTAGACTTATTGATAAATAGAAGATTTTTCTAATCTATCTAATCATCCGACATTTTTAATACAATGATAAGGTTATATGAAGGTATTCTTAGGAGAATATTTTAATTTAAATGAAAATTAGCTAACACACAGTAAAATTCAACCGTATTGTTCAGTATGCTAAAATTACGCTTTGAATAAATTCGATGATTTTGAATGAAAATTATCGTTCATTGGTGGCTACTAAAATTTTCAGTTTTCAACAACAATTTACCGTCTCTAAAATAATGAAGTTCAAAAAATGACAATAATTGATGGTTTTATAGAAAATCATAATCAGTATATATCAGAATCGTAATCAATTCATTTTATCAAAATCATAAGCAGCAATAAATGTCAACGTATCATTCTTTTTCATCATGCAAATAAACAACAATAAAACACGAAAGCGATCATATGATGGTAATCATAATAAAAAGTTTATTTCTTGCAAAATTCGATAAAACTATGCAATATGAATTAAATTATAAATGTGAAGTGAAAATTAATTGAACAATAATAATTTGAAAAGTAATGATAAAATTGGATTGTTTAATGTAAGTGAATAGCACTTTTAAAATAGCAACAAATGAAAAAAAAAAAACTTTCACATTGTTGACAATAAAATTTCAGATTATTTAAAAATTGATTTGTAGCATAAAAAAATTTCATCGACTATTATTTTTTAGAAAGAAAAAAACGCAAGTAAATGAAGTGTTAATAAGCATGAGTCATAGAAGATAACATTCGATAAAACTGATAATTTGAATGATATGATTGATAATTTGAGTAACCAATTTCCCTTTCTTCATCCTTTTTTTCGCCAAAACTAAGTATTTCAGTAAAGAATTGTGTTCCTCTTAACAAATCAATAAAAGTATTTGCCAAATATTTCTTTACTTTCATCACTTCTTTTTCATATTTTTCATCAGTAACGATTTTCAATTCCTCAATTTCTGATGATGATGATGAATTATCAGATGTTGCGTCGGATTTTTCACTTTCTTCTGCTTCATCTTTTTCGGATTCTTCACTTTCTTCCGTCTCATCTTCAGATTTTTCCCTTTCTTCCTTCTCATGTTCTACAGATTCCTCACTCTTTTTCGTCTTATCTTCAGATTCTTTACTTTTTTCCACTTCGCCTTCTTCTGAATCGCTGGAATGCACCTCTTCTTTTTGGCCTGGGGCACCTTTCCTCTGTAATTCAGCTTTGACGGATTTCTAAAATTGCTATTTTTATTAAATTTAAATGGAAGCTTTCGATATGTTGACCGAGAACTTAGCATTTCATAGGATAAAACAAAGAGAAAAATGTCTGAAAAAAATAAAAAACATTCGTAAAAAGAATGATGGAAAATTAAAATGGTAAAAGAAATTTTCAAAACAAAGATAAACGATGAACAAGCAATAAATTAAATTAATAGAAAAAAATATTTTTGTTTTATTTTTAATTTATTTTTTGTTCAAAATTTCAATTTTTTCGTTCAATTTTTTTGCTCAAATTTTGTTCGAAATTTCAAAATAAGAAATAATTAATTCATGTGTAAATATTTGTATTAATCATTCGCTTATGACAAAGCAAAAAAATACTGAGGCAGTTTTTATTTGACAATATCCTATATACTAAAGCAGAAAATTAAATAAATTAAAACTGACATTTTTCATTTTTTACACCTCAAGCTAATCCGTAATAGATTTTTATTCTTTTAAACAATTTATGCAAATTTTATAATGATAGAATATTGGCATTAAATTTTTGCAGTTCATTCTTTAGTATTAGCATTACCTTTAGTATTGGCATTAAATTTGCAGCTAATTCACATCGTCCCAAACATCGAATAGCCTCAAGCACCCGATCAATCTCCACCATTTCCTTGGCTACTTCATCACAAAGATTTATCATTCCCGGTACTACTTCCCAGTCTAAATCTCGTAAACAGTACGTTTTCTTAGCTATTTCCCATTCAGTTACCAACTGAAATGATAATTTTAATTTCTATAAATTAGCTATACAATTACCTATAAATATGCATGAAATATCAGAATAAAATGATTAATTTTGAGAAAGAGAAAATAATAAAAATATATGGTGGAAAATGAAATGTAAAATAGGATAAATGAATTTTAATTGAACATTTTATAACCTTCCGTTTCCTCTCATCATCATTTTATATGGGATGGTAACAATATTCACCTGATGCTTTTCAAATGTAAGCAAACGCTTGAGAGTTAGTTGAGTTGGAGTTGAGCACATTATTTCCAGAGCTATATTAGCTGCAACTGAAATATTTCAAAATTTTAGTTGCTGAAAATTCGAATCAATAAAATAAAAAATTGAATAGAATAGCATGGAGGAGCGGATTACCTGAAAGGCCTACTTATTATTTTCCAAAATACAAATCAAGAAATGATTTATCATAAATAAATTGCAATTTCTGACATTTAACATTTCGTTTGCTTCCTATCTTTTCATTCGAAACCAAAAATTTTAATTTATAAAATCATCGCATTGCATGAATTTTTTTTTTCAAATAAAAAATCAGTAACACAAACAAGCCATTAATGAATATGAACATGAATTTAGATGTATTTATTATATCAGAAAAAAAAATGATTCTAAAACAAAAATTTAATTAATCGAGCCAAGTGATAATAATAGCAGCTGAAGAATGAAAATCCAGTTAGAAATGATGGTAATGGAAATTATTTCATTGTTAATATTTTGAACTTATCATACTGCTACTATTTAAAAGTATGCTAAATTGTTTGATAAGTAATTTAATTAATCTATCATTATGGATCTATCATTGCTGCATTTTTTGGATTGATCGAAAGTAAATATACCTGATTTCTTAATACAGTCACGTTTTAATTCAGTTAACAAGGATGATGGCACATCATAACTCTCATTTTCATCCTCACTTGAATCATCATCAAAATCAAAATACTCAAAAATATCCTCATCTTCTTCAACTTGTACTTCACTTTGTTTTGAAGTCGATTGTCCAACATTAGCACTCAGTTTTGAAATGAGTTTTTCTATTTTTACATTCTTTTTTGTTTCTTTTTTCCCGCTCGATGACTTCTTCTTTTGATGGCTTCGTAATTTCAGCTTCGGTTCAGACGGGAATTTTTTAATGGATTTTGTAAAATCTTTCTTCTCAGCGTAAGCTTGTTCATAAAAGACACGAAAATCTCTTCGCATATAATTGAATCCATGTCCATCGATTCTACCAAATTTATTGTATTGTTTGACCCAATTTGGTGCTATCGCTTCTGGATTTCTGCTCCATCTGTTCTTCTGAAATGGTTTCTTCTTTTTTTTTAATGTAGAATTATTGAAATTATAAAATTTTCGAGAGATCTGAAAGGCAGGAGAAGAGTTGCGAACCGCAGTTGCAAATCAAAGAGTTGCAA